TAAAGAATATATTTATTGAATCCAGCTGCCAGGCACCCACAGACGCTGCTTTTGACGAGGGAAGTTCCACGTCAAGGAGTGCAGTTGAATATAGGGCGACAGTCGTTATTATGGTCAGGCTTGTAGCATGGCCGACAGCCTGGACTACATACTGGAATGGTAAAAGCGGCATTTTAGTATCGAAACTGCTGCTGTTGTAGAAAAGTAAAAGTGTCTCTGCAAAAGTAAAAGTGTCAATGCAAAGTAGATGTGTTATTATTATAGAAAAGTAAAAAGTATCACTGTTATATAATTGTTCAAATGTCACTATTACCATAAGGTAAAAAAAGTATACTCCTAGTGGCATCAGGGTTGGAATTCTACGGAAATTCGTCTGCTAAACGGAAATAAAAGACGACTGACATGGTGACGTCACTTTGGAAATATATTTTTTATGACTACAAATAGTTTTATGGAAATAAAATGTATTTAAAACAATGTTGAAATATCTTCCCTTGCCTAAGGAAACGAAACATAAAAATTGCTGAAGCAATTTTGTGTGAACTGATTTAATGTGGCAGACCGAGCGTCATCACGGCGGAAATTTCATCCGATGTCACTTCAACTGGGTCTTCCAGCTGGGAATCACCAAAATATTCAACTTTTTATGCTAGTGTATGGTTCAATTTTATTGTTTACATCCGTTTCCTTTCTCATCGATTGTTCAGAAACGGCAGAAATGCTGCTACGGAATGCTGACAGCCCTGAGTGGCGTAGCCAAATTCATTATAAGAGGGAGTGTTGTATCTTCCAAGTGGGTGCATACACACGTGTATGGAATCTCGTGTTTTTCGTAGCTGGCCTTTGAAATACTGCAAATATCATTTTGAGGTGAGTGGGAGAGTAATGACAACTCAACCCTCTCATCCCTGATTCCTAAACTGGAGTTTGTTATGGCCATGATTGCCGTGGTAGTGGTGAGCAAAGTAACCACCATTACCGCAAACTATTCGAATACGATGATGGAGGCTAGACTTCGGTTTAAGATATCATTAACTTATTTTTTTTTATTAACATCTGCACTTCAGTAAAATTTTGCAAATCTACTAATTGTATTAGAGTTTTCATAAATTCTCACATTATGATATGCATTCGTATCATTTGCAGTAATGGTGATGATTGTGTTGTACGGCTGGTGAGGGATTTGTGACGGTTGTGGTGGTGTGAATGGTGATGGCCATTGTAGTGGTGGGGACCGTGATGGTGGATGGATAGGGCGTGATGGTGTGGGTGGTGGTGACTATGGCAGCATTGGTGGTGAGGGCTGTAGTGTTCGGGGTGGTGATAACTGTAATAGTTTGAATGAGATGGCTGTGGTAGCGGTGGTGACCGTGATGGTGGATGGCTAGGGTGTGGTCATGTGGGTAGTGAGGGTATGTGGTGGGGCGAAGAGAGAGGGCTGTGGTGGTATCTGAGGTGTTGGGTTAACGGTGGTGGTGTGACACAGAAATAGCATCAGAAGTTATAAGAGGCACAGTACACGGTTAATAATACAAAGGTCGAAAGATGTAAATCCAATTGACTTTCGCGAATACTGCAATGGTACGTGTTAATAACATGAAATATATGTTCAAATGACACATATGACACGAATGACTTATATGTTCGAAAAAAAACAATGGTATATTTACGCCACGTAAATTTATACATTGGCAATTTATGCGGACACTAAAATACAGGCTACATGTTCATAACAATTACAATTACAAATCTGACACACGTAAACTATTGTGGACCAGACATATAACCTGAATTATCCTGAAGGTCAGAACATACGCAGCATTACCTTCGCTTGATAAGATAAAACAAAGCAAGGTGTGGGTTTTATTTTATTTCTCACTCTCCCCCCTTTCCCTTCTGGATGTAAATGCATTTGGTATATGCTTATATAGGCAGAGTTGGCATTTATATTGATGCATTTATGTGTATACACACACACACACACATATGTATATATATATGTGTGTGTGTGTGTGCATGTATGTATATATATATACATGCGTGTATTTATATGTATACACACATATTTATTAGATTATCAAAACCAACGAACGAAGAGAGAAAATACTCACAGATACACTTCACACTGAGCTCCTTCGCCCCCCCCTCCTCCTTCAGCGGCGCGGCGTCCCCCACCCACGCGGCCGCCGCACTGAGCACCACCAACGCCAAGAGGAAGCGGGTCGGCCGTGGCATTCTTGGGGGAGGATATTAAATCGGTCTTTTTGATCAGTGAAGATGTGTACACACACACACACACACACACACACACACACACACACACACACACACACACACACACACACACACATATATATATATATATATATATATATATATATATATATAATATGTGTGTGTGTGTGTGTGGTGTGTGTGTGTGTGGTGTGTGTGTGTATGTATATATATATATATATATATATTATATATATATATATATGTGTGTGTGTGTGTGTGTGTG